AGCGCCATGGAGGATCGCATTCAACAAGTAAACAATGCCATATATTTTCAGTATCCATGATACCATGGGAGATGGTGGGAGACGACCTACGCCAACCCCGGTANTAACACGTGAACAATGTCATATACAGTTCCATGTCCATGATATCATGATATAATCCATACAATGAAAAGAACAAGCAACTCTAGTCTACATAGACCCTACCCCCAACACTAAAAACAAGAGTGAGTGTATTTAGCAAAATGGAATCCACAAAAAGTGTCACCCGCCTCGCAGTCCGACATTCTCGGTAGCCTCTTCGTGGCGGTGGAGCGCTAGCGCCATGGAGGATCACAATCAACAAGTGAACAATGCCATATATTTTTCAGTGTCCATGATACCATGGGAGATGGTGGGAGACGACCTACGCCAACCCCGGTATCACCTCCCGTACCCCACCGGAGTCTCTGGATTGAGCCATTGTTGTCCTCCCCCCCCCGGCACCTCTCTATTGCACGAGGTACCTTCAGTCCGCCACCGCTGCCACGTCGTACGAAGCGTAGCGTAATGCAAAACAAGGGGATGGTCCTCTCTCCTGTACGGTACGGACGGCGTGGACAAGGGGCGGGGGGGATGAGGAGTGCAATTTATTCTGGTATTTTCTGGTTAATTCACCCCCGTCTGATCTAAATTGTGCTTTCCCGTTGCAACCACCGGCGGCGTAAGTCCACATGCGGTTGTTAACCTAGAGGTGCGCCAGCGTATGCCCACACCGCGGGTAGTACATGGTCAACGGGAGCGTGCGTGTACACGGAGAGAGTGTATGCAGCTGCCGGAAGAATACTAGACTACTGCTGTGCGGCTCAAACGGCGAAGGAAATTCTCGGCGTTGGTGTGCTCTGGTGCGTGATGCACCTTCAAAACAAGAGACGCACTGCTGCTGCACTGCTGCAGGTAACAAAACGTATCCCCCGCGGCACACGAAGGGTTGAGTGTGTGGTAAGGCAAAACTAAAAAAAAACAAGAGCGATTCATCCCTAGTCTAATAAGGCTAAGGCTGAGTCTTACGGCGTGATTATTTCGGAGATTTTTTTTTT